AAATATAAAATGTTGACTTAGCTTAATCGTGATCACACAAAACAGGAGGGCACGGGAGGGTACGGGAAGTGGGAGGGCAGAGAATCTGCCTCCCTATAATAAATCCGACTTTTGGTAACCTAATTCAAATTCAACCCTTTTGACTATTAAAAGTTCAATTATTTTTAATACATGATTCTATGTTATCGCCACGGTCCCAACAATCCAATGACTATGCTTTGTGACTTTAGAATTCAAGTTATACTTTTCCTCGTCACCTCGAGTATTAATTTGTAAATTATTATAATTAATGATGGGGAAACTATTCATTTAAACTATATTTTGTGAATTATATGACTCAGTTGTTGATGATTGGACTATTACTTAACTACTGATTAACATGCTCATTTCTTATTAGTAACATATCACATAATTTACAAATTTAATCTAAAAAAGTCTACCTAGCATTACCGAATCACTATATTATTTGTTGTTGGCTAAGTGATTAGTCTATATTTACACAATTATTTTGAGTAGATCGATTAAATAGTCAATTGTCACAAGGGAAGAGAACCGAACCCACTCTAAAATGAATAGATATAAGTACATAAATTTTGGATTTAATCTCATCCAACGATAATTAACAGTATCTAATGATCACATATCACCATAGTGGTGAACAATTGAACAAACCACGCATTGAGATTCTTAACCAAAAAAAATTATCCAACAACTTGTGATAGCGGAAATTAGCTTCATAATTTGTCGATTATGTGGGACCATGTTACATGTGTGGAAGAGATTTTTTTTTTACATTTTGGGAACACGGAGAGTACGTCATATGTTATTATATAAGCGAAATTTGTTTTTTTTTCAAGTGTCTCTTCACTTGTATAAAGACATATAACGTGTGTGTCTGTCTTAAAAAACATTAAAAAAATTTCCTACGTGAATGCAGCGGTAACCGGTTGAATTTCAGGCGGCCTATGACCACCAAATTTGTTAGGATTTGCTTTCGGAAGGTTTCAGCTCCAAATCCCAATCAATTGCTTGGTATTTTCGTCTATACCCGTGGCCCCCACCTAATATCCTCATCACCGTCTGATCAATCATAGCAGATACATAATTTGTTATAAAATTGTATCGCAGCCGTTGATCAAATCAAGCGGAAAGAGTGGAACTGTAAAATGAAAACCAGACCGAAATGACCAATGAATCCACACCCATAGGCCACAACTTACAAGAAGAGTGGGAAAAGTAAAAGGCATTTTCCAGTCGCTGTTTTAGTCCAAGGGTAAAATGGACAATGGATATCACATTACGGCATGGCCTATTTTTCCACGTGGGTCATGTTGGGGCTTTGTTTCTTTTTGGAAAATATGGTTCACCCCATATGTTTCATTATTTTGGTTGGAGTCTTCACGTGTAATGTCAATTTGTTTGGTCTACGTTTTTGACATTGTATTCCTTCCAATTACGCGGTCATGAAGGGAAAAGGAAAATAATCCTATGATGTTTCATCTCGGAATTTTCAGGACATAATTCAAATCTTGTATATTTTGTAGAACTTTGAAAACTTTCAAATTGTTATTTATCCACCATACAATATTTTTTTCTAAATTAGTGCAATCTTTGTAGGCATAGTTGGCCGATTTCATATTTTTATTAGGCTTTGTGTCAGAACCTTGTTAATGCGTGACGTGAATATTGATTGAGTGTCACGTGTCATTGTAGTCCCAAATGAATATTAAAAATTAGAAAATTTTTAAAAAAAAAATAAAAATTAGAAAAAAAAAAAAAAAAAACTAAAAAACACAATCTCTCTCTGCTGATTTCTCCAATGGCAGGATTTTCCAGCTCCGAGACTTCCTTTTTTTTCTTCTCTATCTTCTTCTTTTATTTATTTATTTATTTATTTTTTTCTGTCTGAAGAAGAACCGAACTCTTGTTGGTAAAAGTCATCGATGATGGCATGATTTTCCAACTCCAGTATCGACGATGATTAAGTAGACAGGATCGTCATCTACTCTCTGCTTCTCTCCTCACCCGTTCTTTCTTCCCAGGTAATTAACTCTAAATTCAAATTCTCTCTCCGGTCCACTTCATAATTTTCCATGAAAGTCAAAACCCAATTCTCAAAATTTCATTTTTTCTTGAAAATTTTTGTTTTTTTTGTAGAAGTGAACTCAGCTTCTTTCAAGCTAGTCAACAAGTGCAAGTGCCGCTACGAAGTACGCCGCGGAATACTTTACGGTGCCAATTCTGTCCCCTCACCCCCACCAGAGTCTCGCTCAAGCCCGACAAGTCTCGGGCCCTCTGTACCAAATCTTGGTCGGGTTGGATCTGGCTTGGACTCTTTGAACCGAATGCTCGCCTGGCGTCCCTTCGATTTAGGGTTTGTGCGACGGCGTTCGAGCGACAACGCTACTTCGACGGCAAGGAAGAAGGCAAAAGGCGTTTTGGTTTTAAATTGATTTTTAGGGTTTCTTGTTTTTTTTTGAAGGAAGAAGACCTCAAATTTTTGGGATTCTGCCTGCCCTCATCCCAAGACCAAAATTAATTTTTAATTTTGCTAAAAAAATATTTTGCACAATCATCGTCCATGTACAGCAACAGTGTCATGTCATTATACAGTCATCGTCCGTACGGCGTCACCTCACGTATTAATCATTGTTTTAAAAATCTCTGTCTAAACCATAAGCAGTTGGTCATCATCCTGAATAATTCATAGGCATTCAAAAATTAAGTAAGTATACCTAAACCTGGTTAGGAGTTTGCCTAGCCTGCTTAAACCCTCCTAGACACTCACCTAGGTCACAACTCTTACTCAGACAGAAAATAGATAAATTTCATTTTGCATTTTAATTTAAAAAATGTAAAAGACTTATTGAATACTAGGATAAATGCTCATTATATGCTTGTTCCTCGTATTTTCAATATGTTTTAATACTTTATAACCTATATAACATTTTATTTTGTAATTTATGTATCTCAATACAATTATGTATGTTTTTTTTTAATTATAAATAGACAATTGTTTATATGTTAATATAATAAATATACTTAAATCTGCCTAAGCCCTGCCTAGGCGTTAGGCCCTAACCCGTCGCCTTACTACCTCCTAACGTCTTTTAGAACCTTGGTTTTAACAGAGTCTTTGAGGGAAAGACTAATTGTAGTAACAAAGTGTCACAAAATTCAAACTTTATATATGAGATTGGAATAACAAAACTTGATCTATGCAGGTTTAAAGACCACAATACTTCAGGAAAACTGAGAGTTACTCTAAAAGTATATTAGATAAGATAGCGTATGATAATACTTTTATGTTTATATATAATACTATGATTGAATATAAAAATATAAAAGAAAGTGGATCCTGTACTATAGTGGTGAAAGGTGTGTTGTCCTTACACTACGGCGTATGTTTGAAACCTATCGGCTTTCTAATCTAACAAATTTATCGTTTGAAAAATAAATATACAAATATAAAATAAAGCAAATTTATATAGGCACATTCAAATTGCCATCCAACTCTATATAATACATGATAAAATATCAATTTACATGGTTTTTTTTTTTTTTTTTGTAATATTAAAGTTTGAGAAAATTCGGATCAAATAAGTACATTCTAATTGTCATCCAAATCTTTTAGAAATTTTCGAAATCGAAATGAAGATTTTCAAATTCAAATTAGAATTTCCAATCCAACTTACGCTCCCAGAAATATTACAACACAAAGACAGAAGAACACTAAAATTAATTTTTAAGAACAAAGCCATTAATATGGGGTGAATCAAGAAGACAAAGAAAATCAATAAGTATAAAAGAAGCTTAATTTTGAGTGTTATTCAGAGTTCCTTATTAGTTGTATCATGTGTAGACTAATTGCTTGGAGACTTAATACACTTACTCAAGATATTTTATATTAAAAACTTTGGAATTAATTTTAGTCATGTTCGACGGGCGACTAATTTTGTTACAGATACTCTAGTCAGTAATAATCACACCCCACTTTTTGATGTATTTTGAATTTGTACCTGCCCTCCCACATGGGCAGGCATTGTATGATAGAAGCTTAATTGAATAAGCAAGAAGTAAAGCTTTAAGTGTAGTTCGCGGATATTAAATATTTGTGCTTGCTCAAAATAAATTCATCCTACAAATTAGATCACGCAATTTATGTTCATTAACGTCTTAGATTTAAATTTATATCTAAACTATTTATTAATGTGACTTTTTTTGTCAATCAAAACTTTATAATATTATCGTTATAACTCTTTCTCCAAAACTAAACCCACAAACAAAGGCAATTTAGTAATTATATTCAACATAAATTTTACTGTTTTTTCGTCAATTTTACAACCATGTAAACATAGGACATGATTGTCTACCATCTCACTTCCGGTACCCTCTCGTGCCCTCCTGTTTATGTGATCATGGTTAAACCATGTCAACATTTTATATCACTATTCATTTTTGTTTTATTATCTGTATAAAAAAATAATATAAAATGTTGACATAGTTTAACCATGATCACACAAAACAGGAGGACACTGAAAATAGAAGGACAGACAATCCTTATATGTAAACATAACGTCCTCGGTATAAAAATAAGAAATATACCAAAGAAATCGCCGTATTACTGTCTTAACCAATAATTTCAAAAACTAATCACATTACTTAATAAAAAATATTATTCACTCATAATGTGTGGTGCATCCACTAATAATTATTGATCACATACTTCTTTCAATTTTTGCGCTTTTAATCATTTCGCTTGTGAGAATGTAAATCAATTCTTTGTCTCCATAATTCAAGTTGGAAACACACGTTAAATTCACGTCTGATAAGTTCGAGGGGCGTGGAATCACGCGCCAAAGACATGGAAAAGTGACAATTGACTAAAAGCATCGCGGGCAGCACCGAACGCCGTTTTGGCTGAAACACTAGCCAAAAAAAATCAACTATATATTGACCTGCTCGCACCCGAACCTGAGCCTCGGAGTCAGGCTCGGACCTCACATTTCGAAAAGGCCAAGCCACGGGCATCGAAAATAATGCAACCAAAGCAAAAGATAGAGAGAGAAACAGAGCGTGTTCTTAGAGAGAGAGAGAGACAGACAGAGATAGAGTGAGGGTTTTAGAGAGAGAGAGGAAGAGTAAGAGAGAGAAAAAGCGGGGATGGGTCAGATCGTGAGGAGGAAGAAGAAGGGGAGGCCATCGAAGGCAGATCTGGCTCGCCGTGCCGGCGAGCTGCCGGAAAAACCGACAAAGAAAGAGTCGGACGTCCGGCGGAGCCTCCGACGGAGAAATGCGAAGTACAATATCGACTACGACGACTACGTGGACGAGGAAGACGAGGAAGACGAAGAAGAAGACGAGAGGAGGAGGGAGAAGAAGGTGAAGCTGGTGATGAAACTCGACCAGAGGGGCAATGGCTCGGCGCGTGACTCCCACGCGCATGAGTCTGGCGGCGAGGAGGATGAGGAGGACGGCCAGAGTGAGAGGAAGCAGCTGAAGAGGCGCCGGATTAACGGCGGCGATGATTCCGATAGAGATGATGACGGAAATGAAGACGACGATGAGGGGGATGATGATTGCGAGGTATGTGATTGTGGTTAGGGTTTTAGCATCAATGCACGGATCTGATGATGAAGAAGGAGAGCTCTTTTGAAATGGGGAGATAGAGATTGTGAGTGTACTAGTCCAGCTCAGAATAGTGTTCTGATTGGTCCAGACTTCTATATTGCACTCCCTCCCTATCTCTCTCTTTCTCTCTCTGCCTTCTCTCTCACTCTTACACACACACTCTCTCTCTGTTGATAATAACGGTTGGAGTCAACTGTCAAAAACCAACACAGAATCTGATCACGCTATCCCCACCTTTCTCTTTCTACCCACCTCACTTTCTCTCTCTCTGGGTACGCATTGTCTGCTATGCCTTATCTGTCTCTGTCTCTCGTTGTCACATTAAACCGCAGCGTGTGTTGCTTTTACATTTTGTTTCGTTGGACTGTTTATTTGTTTCTTGCTGGTTTTCATGGGGCCTATGGATTTTGACAGGAACGGGGTCGGAAAGCTGACTCGAAGCGGCCTGATTCCCCTCCAGGTTTGTTTTTGGTTCATTGCATTTCGATATTTTTGGGTTTCTGGGTCAACTGGATATATGGGATTTGGTGTATTTTTTGTTTTTGTGAGTTTATGATGAGTGAATTTGATATGGGGTTGTTTGAATTTTCCTTGGATTTGTTTCAGGAACGCCGTATGATCCTCATGCCGCGATTCCGTTGCCGGATAAGAAGACGTTGGAGTTGATTCTTGACAAGCTTCAAAAGTATGGATTTGCCTTGTGTTGTTACATGTTACTAATTTCAAAGCTAAAGGCTTCGTTTTCTGACGCTCACATCTCATTGTGGCAGGAAAGACACTTACGGTGTATATGCAGAACCAGTTGATCCTGAAGAGGTGCGGTTATTTTTCGCCATGACATGGTTCTGTGTTTGTTCAGAGCTTTTCGCTATTCTGGGGGGTTAGAGTTTGATAAGGTGTTTTAATGTTTCAGCTTCCTGATTATCATGAGGTCATTGAGCGTCCAATGGACTTTGCCACGGTGAGAAAGCAGTTAGCAAACGGATCGTATTCTACACTGGAACAATTTGAGGTGGGTGCTCATATGTTACTAACCACGTACTCTAAATCTTCAGGGGATTAAATAGGCTTTGTTGTAGAAGCCCTGCAGGACTTGCCTCAATATCTGACAACATTATAGGATCTTTTTATAGTTAAGGGTGGGGGCTGGGTGCTGAGGGCTGAGGGCGCAGACTAATTTTTCCTTTTCTCCAACTTTTTCCTCCCTTTTAGTTTTTTCAGTGAACACCTCTTTATGTACTATTGTGTTGTTCGTTAATTAGTTCAGGGAATTTGGGTGGCAAAGTTAAAGAGGGAATACTGAAAAAGTAATGTGGATACTTGTTGAAAACAAGTTTGGCAAACTGTGTTGTGTGTATGTTGGAAGGAGGGCGAGAAAGATAGGATATTGAGAGAGTATCTCTGGGATTTTGGCTTGCATGTTTTGAGTGAGAAGTCATGACTCTTTGTAGTATTTATAATACTACGGGTTCCACATCTATTTTTGCAAGTGGAATTGTCAGAGTTGGATTGTTAATTTAAAGCTCCTAAGGGGTGCAGGATGCGGATTCTCTGCAAATTGTTAGTGATAAAATTTCAGAATTGATTGGGGAAGTGGGAATATACTAGTGTTGATCGGGAATAAGTTTGCCTATGATTTTACAGTATCTTCAATTGAATCTAGGATTGCATTTTACTATTTTTGTCGTGGATGTGCAAATGGGGATGGAAACGTTGATATTCTTTTTTTTTTTTCTAAAATATCTCACATTTAGCTCTCTCAGGGTTTAGAGCCAAATGTAATAGCTGATGTTTGCTTTGATGTTTGTTAGAATTCAATGAAAAATTAGGATGATGCCTTCTCTTTTTCTTTCCATTGTGGATTCAGGCACATCATGCTTTTTCTTTATGTTAATCACTAGGTCAATTCTATTTGGGTGATGCTAGAGGTACAAAGAGTTGTACAAAATCATTCTTACAGTCTAAGATGACACTTCTCACTCTCTCCCTTACAAACTATGCTGACAACTCTCTCTCAAGAGAACTATAGAAATTTGTGGAAGGGTTTAATATGCTTAGTTAAAAGGGGGTGAGGAAGAGAAAAGTGCATAAATTCACCCTTGAAATTGACTATTCTTGTTATTTAATAATTTTCTTACTCTACTCCTTGTCTCTCTCCAAAAACACACATTTTCTCTTCTCTAAAATAAAATTTAAAATAATTTTCATACTCAAATTGCCTTCGATGAAATTATGTTAAAAGAGTAAAAGTAGTATTTTGTCGGTAATATGTTCCTCTTGGTTGCAGGGTGATGTCTTTTTAATATGTTCAAATGCAATGGAATACAATTCCTCAGATACAATATACTATAAACAGGTAATTAGCTTTTTCTGTTGTATTATTTAAAATCTTCTTCTTGTTCTTACCACTGTTGGGATATTTTTGAAAGGCATGTTCAATACAAGAGCTGGCAAAGAGAAAATTTGATAGGTTGCGAAGTGACTATGAACGCTCGGAAAAGGAGCTCAAATTAGTGCAGAAAACAAAGTCCAATTCCTTGGTCAAGAAACAGACAAAGAAGCCTTTGTCCAGAACATTACAGGAACCCATTGGCTCTGATTTCTCCTCAGGTGCCACTCTTGCTACTGCTGTAGATGTCCAGAATGTTTCCCTTCCAGTTCCAACGCAGGGTGGTGGTTGTGAGAGACCTAGCAACATTGACGGACCTGTAGAGGGTAATTCCTCTTTGAATGAAGCTAATGTGGAGAAGGCAGAAGATATGTCATCAGGTGCACTGAACTGTTTGTTTTCCTTTTTGATAATGTAGATTTACAATAGTTGATGAAAAAATGAGCACGTGGGTCTCAATATTCTTGTTCCTGTAGTGTATTAAATAGCAATGTTGGTGTCTTTCCCCTCACTTTTGTTAAAACACAGATTATCTTAGCTAAAAAAAGGATCGGAAGTAACTTGTTCATCGTAATGTTGTAACGTAGGAGCGGATTCACCTCTAATTGCTTTATTCTTGTACTTTTTGTAGGGAAGGGTCTCCTATCGAAAGTTGGGAGGAAGCCATCTGTGGTTGATGAGAACCGCCGTGCAACCTACAATATTTCCACTCAGCCAGTGGTCAGATCAGAATCAGTATTTACTACCTTTGACGGTGAAATCAAGCAATTTGTTGCAGTATGTAACAAGGAATCTAGTTTTCTCAATGAATCTTTTATTTGCCCTGTAGCTCCTGTAGCTGGCTTTTGTACTTATTTTAATAATATTTTTCAATATTGAATCAGGTTGGGCTTCATGCAGAATATTCATATGCTAGGAGCCTTGCTCGTTTTTCTGGAGGTCTTGGATCCCTTGCTTGGAAAATTGCATCAAAGAGGATTGAACAAGCACTACCCGATGGGTGTAAATTTGGTCGTGGTTGGGTTGGAGAATATGAGCCACTTCCAACCCCTGTATTACTGGTCGAAAATAGTACCCAAAATCAATCAGCTTTGGCTTCAAAGTTTTATTCATGCCCGGAATTGAGAAAGGATGACAGAACTCTTAGGACTTCAGTTCCTGCTAAGGAGCATCCTGTTACTAGGCCTGTTACAGAAGAGAGACAACACTCTGTTGTGCCTACTTCAGGAGGGAGACCACCATTTCTTGATTCTCCTAAGGGGCTTTACTCAGAAGGGAAACCGACTGTGATCCGTCCTGTTGGAGCAAAACCTAATTCCACAGTCAATCCACAAAAAAACCTGCAATCCCGGTTTATCGAGCGTGAGAAAAAGGTTCAAAAGGAAGTTGAGTTGAACTCCATACCCTCAGTTCATCCACAGAAAAAACTGCAATCCCGGTTTATCGAGCCTGAGAAGAAGGTGCAAGAAGCAGTTGAGTTGAACTCTATACCCTCAGTTCATCCACAGAAAAACCTGCAATCTCCGTTTATTGAGCCTGAAAAGAAGGTTCAAAAGGAAGTTGAGTTGAACTCTGTACCGTCAGTCAATCAAAATAATGCCAATCTTATTGCAGAAAAGCAATCATCAAGACGATCGGAGGCAGAAGCTTCCAGGCCCAGAGATATAGTATCAAGGAACATAAATCTTCCACAACCTGTACCTTGTAAGATGCCGGATTCTAATGGAACTGTTAACCGAGGGTTGCCTAATGGGAAATATGTGAATGCGTGCCTGGACAACCGGATGATTAGTCCATCTGACAGTGATCATAGTCAAATGGATAGAACAGCAGCTTTCTTTCCTCATAAACAGGTGCAGGGTCTTAGTGACCCAGTACAGTTAATGAAAAAGTTGGCGGAAAGTAATCAAAAGCAACAGAAATCGTCAAGTCAATCATCAATTGATACTCAACCCGTTGGGTCATCGGTTCCATCAATAAGAAGAGATGATTCAGGCAATGCTGCAGCAGCTGCTGCTCGGGCTTGGATGTCTATAGGCGCTGGAACATTTAATCAGCCTACTGAGGATCTCACTACACCCAAAAGTCAGATATCTGCAGATTCATTATACAACCCAGCTCGGGACTTTCAGTCACAAATTTCACGAGTTCGGGGCGAGTTTCCAATGCAATTTCAGAATCAGAACAGCTTTTCATTTCCAACCTTTTTACAACAACCTGTTCGTATGGCGAATGAATCACAGTTTCAAGGCCGACCTACAATTTTTCCTCAGTCGGCAGCAGCTGACTTGTCCAGATTTCAAGCGCAGTCACCTTGGCGAGGTCTCAGTCAACATGCTCAGCCAAGACCAAGACAGAAACAGGAAAGCCTTCCTCCAGACTTGAATATCGGTTTCCAGTCCCCAGGGTCTCCAGTGAAACAGTCCTCGAGTCTTCTGGTCGACTCTCAGCAGCCGGACCTGGCGTTGCAACTCTGAGTGTAAGTGCGTATTCAGATGAGTTAAAACAAAGCGTACAAAGATGAGATGCTTCTGGCTTCCGTCTAAAGGGATTCACATGTGCCTGGTGCCATAGTTGCATCCAGTGTGAGAATGCCGACGATCTCGTTATGACAGAATGATTGTGGAGGTGATGTTTATCCATTTTTGACTTGAACTAAGAGTTGCTCGACCTGGTATGATCTGCTCGGAACTTGAAAAGCTATAGGTTTAAGAAGTTCATTTTGTGGCCCAGATAAGGATTACGGGCTTGCAGACGAAGATTTTCGTGTCGTAAAATTGGGTAGAAGGATGGTGATTGATTTGACGATTTACGTGAAATCGCTTAGGAGCTGTTAGAATGATATAAAAATGCAGAAATCTTGTTGAGGGGCTTGTACATTGTTACAGGTCGATGGGAGGAATTACTTGTCTAGATTATGTATGTACTACTGCTACGCTTATAATTTACACGTGGACTATTGTCTCTGAAATTCAATGTTTCTGCTTTGTGTTCACGGGTTCGGTCAATAATCTCTCTCTACAACCACCAATTTAATGAAATTTGGTCTTCCAATTATGCCCTTGCATGAACTGGCAATAATGGGCACTCTTTAGACCATTTTTCATGTAAGATGTCAAATCTTAATCGGAATGTATTGTAATCAAATTTGAAGGTAAGAAGTTCCAATCCAATATGTTACTCTTATGTGGATTGATATATGAATTTTTATATGCCAAATTTGAAATATGAGAAAATGTGCTGTCAAATAATTTTTTAATTATTTTATTATGTGGATTCTATTAATGTACTAGTTATAGATTTTGAAAATTCATTTTATTTAATTTCTTTTTAAAAATGGGTCCCATAAATATTATTTATAACAAAAAAAAAGAACATATCGATTGGATGAAGAGAAAATCTATCAAATTAACATTTGATGACGATCATACCTACAAGAGAAGAGACACTCTCTTGCAATTGAAGACGATCATTTACTGCCATCTATTATGCCACTGGGATAATATTTTAGAGTTTCAAGAGTCTTCTTTAGTACACTTTCATCCTATTATTATTATTATTAGTATCATTATTAAGACGAGGGAGAGAATTTAAAACTATTATAATGACCGAGAAGAGATAGGATTTTTACGGGATCCAATTTGTGAGGATCCTAGGAATTCTTTAATCATGTCCGTTCATCGTACATCATGCAGTTAGTTTTCGTTAGGTACTGTTTGTATTCAATTTTAGATAATATAATTTAAAATAATTTCTGATCGCACGATGTACTATGAAAGGACAAGATTAAAGAATCCACGGGATCTTCACAAGGAGGATCCAGCGAGGATCCTCTCTCCAATTAGGGGAGATGAGAGTTTCGAATTCGGGATGCATGTGTGGAAACTCAGTAGTCTATCCACTAAGATGCCAAGGGTGGAGCTAGGAATTTTTTACCGGATGAGCTAGCTTAAAGATTTAAATTTTTATGAACAAAGAAATTTTATAATGTATTTTTCATAGTATCAATTAGCTTATGAAAACTTTCCCAAGGTGAGCCAAGATTTTTTCGTTATTAAACAAGTAAATGTTAAAATTCAAACAAATCCAAACTTGAAATATATGTACAAGAAATGATGAAAAAAGTGAGGTAAGGAAAAGAAATTGATTATAAATTGTATTATATAATTAAATTAAGAGAATTAGGACTACATTTGGAAATCATAAAAACTACACGTAAAATTTTATCTTTCACCGAAAATTACCTAAGCTATAACCCATGGTATCCTTTAACCTGGCTCCGCCAGTGATGCTAGACCACATGATGCAAGTACGCCTTCATCCTCTTAATACAAAATTTTGAGGAAGGAAAGACCAATAAGTCGTTTGGGGAGCTCCAAATGAGGTATGGCAACGATTTTTCAAGTATTACACGTCTTTTCACATTTGTAATTTTTTTGGCTTTTTAGCTAAAATGGTCTCTGAGATTTGCATAGCACATCACTTTGGTCATTGAGATTGAAAATCAATAGAAATGGTCCCTGAGATTGTCTACCATTCATTATTTTGGTTCTTCCTTTAAAAACTCTTTTAAGTGTGCCGCAGCTCTTGATTGGAAGTTCGGACAATTTTCAAAGCTTCATAACTCAATCGTTTCTTAACCAAATTCGACCCATAATTTATCAAAATGAAGATAGGAAAGTGTAGAATAAGATTATACCTATTAAGCAGACCATGGACGAACATTTGTGTTACAAGCCCTTGGTTTTCTCATCAAAAACTCAAAACTTTAGTTTTTTTTTTCCCTACTTCAAATGTTACATAATAATTCAAATATTTAATTAGTCACTGATGAGTCGATTTCATATTATATATTTTACCCTGTTCTTAGTATATTTTGATAATTATTTTGGTAGAATTTTGATACTTTGTTTTATATTTTCAACATAGGACATTCAACTTTCTCTAGAGCAAAACATGACCAAACGGATAAATTTTGGAGTGATTCCAATTGAAGGATGTTCGTGAGTCTTTCAAGATGATTGTATCAAAATTCTAGATTTTTCTACCAAGTTGTTTGACCGTGGCAATGAAATAAAGGTCCAGCGCACAACTTTTCCAGATTGGTGTTTCTGGACGTTTTGGGTATTTTGACGGTGAAGATGGCATATTTGGAGGAAGATTCCTTCTGAGGATTTGTAGGGGACATCTTGATGAAGTCCTTTTAGCTTAAATAGGAAACCTTTTATTCTCTGTTTTATTGTTTTATTATGTTTCCTAGTTTTATTCTAAGACCCTTTAGGGTTTTATTTTGTAGTAGTATAAATAGGGCTTTTTAGCCATTAGAGAGAAAAAGGGAGAGAACGCAACATTAGGAGAGAACGCACGCATTGTTTGGAGAATTGTTTTTGACAATTCAAGTTTATTTACAAGGTGTTTTCTATTCATGTTTTTAATAATATTTTGGCTTATGGTTGTTCGTAGCTAATTTTCGTTTGTTAGGGCGATACCTTGAACCTTAGCATGAATATGTAGTCTTTATTTAATTGCTTATGATATTATGCATGTTTACTTTGAATTATTAATCATTGTGCTTTAAATTGTCTCTATATCTTAATGCTTAGCTACCATTAAGATGTTTAGATAAGTAGTCAGATGCAATTCAGTCGGAATACCACCCGGGAAATGAGTATTGCTTCTTGTGATTGATAGTTGTAATTTCACATAGGATGAATACCATGTCTTAGGGGTTGCATGGTTTTTCAAAAGGTTTTCACAAAGTGTAATGAGTCATGCATGTTTATATTTGATCTGAATACCATAGATGGATTGCATGTTTGATATACGTTCTAGCTTGAATACCACGAGTAGAATATGCATTAGGAAAACCTAACCTTCAAAGTTGCATGGGTAATTTATAAGTAATTAATAAATCTACATAGGATTATTAAAGGGACGGTGGAACCCTAGGCTTTTACAATTTGGTTTTCGAAATTAATTTTGACACACCCCGACCCGAAAAGTCCACTAGGATTCCGAATCGAGCTGTGCTGGCCGACACCTGGAAGGCGACGAAGCCATAGAATGTGATAATGTGTAAAATGTGAATAAATTTAAAATTAAAAGTGCCTATATACACAAATACGCGGTGAGCGAGTATGGACCCATTTTACGCGTGATACAAAGCATAAGTAAGCACAGTAAGGTAAGATAATGATTATACCATCATAAGGAGCCACCTGAACTGGGAGTGCCACAAGTCCTCGTCGATACGGAACTTTGCTATTAGAACCTGAAGGGGTGCAAAAATAGAAAGAGTGAGTGGTCGAAACAAAGATTTTCAAAATCATTTCCATTATCAAAGGTAGTAACCCCTCGTCGTAAGACCTGTATAGTTTCCAACAAATCATACTACATAAAAGTATGAAATCAAAAGTATACTAATAGTAAACCCGGAAGTAAACCGTTATCCAACATCTCATTAGCAATACAAATAATCACGTGCTTAATAAACCATACTAGCATGCAAGTCAAAATCACTTATGGTGACCTATACAACTGTACACATATCACATCAATCAATGCTAGCACATAAGTCGGAGGTAAGTCGGAGTCACCTATAGTGAGCTGTACAACTTATCCATATCTCATCACATATCTCATCAATCATAGCTAGCATATAAGTCGGAGTCACCTATAGTGACCTATACGACTTATCCATGTCTTATCACATATCATCATTTAGCTTATTTACCAATTCTTGCACACGAGTCGGAACCACCTAAAGTGGTCTATAAGACAGGCTGGATGTAAATAAATACGCTCAAGTGCTATGATCACGTGAAGGCTGTGCGAAGTATCGCAAGTCACCTATGAGTCGGAACCACCAAAAGTGGTCTGTACGATAGGTTGACACCTACCTTGGATCCAAGGTGAGCATATGGTGTGGGAGGTGAACGATCACGTGAAGGCTAGGCCATGGCCACGGGCGGAGCACTAACATCGAAGTGCAGGTTTATGTGCTCAAACATATCTCAACACAATCATACTCACTACTATCACTATCATCAACATGTACTCACCTAAAGCTTACTTGGACGTCCGCAACGTCATTTGGCACTTCAAAGCATTCACAATAATTAGGTTTAGGTAATATACATATGAATATGCCATGATGTAAATCTGAAATTCAACCATATCATTATATTTCCAGATATATAAACATATATACAAATGGCATGAAATACATAGCTGTAACACCCCACTGCTGAACTATTTACTTTCGAGAGTAATCATCGGTGATAAGTCCAATTAGACACTAATCAAATTAACTATCATTACTTACCTTTCCTTCAATTTCTTGATTCTTTACATCTTGATTTATGACCAACATTTAACAACCAAAACCTAAGGTTATATCTCTTATTTTCTACCAATCTCCTTCACACTACTCAATTCCTCAAACAAGGCTATTGTCTCAATTATTTAGTCTCGTTTATTGTATGGCTACATCTAACGTCTCGTTAGACTGCCTAAGTACCCTAAATAGGGATCAAACCATTCGTAGTTCACATCCATTATTTGTAGGTGACAAGCATATGGATATACCATAACATAATCTAAAGTCAATCATCTCATAGTACTTTAGAACACATATATATATATATATATATATATATGTAAACAATAAAAAGAATAAATCCACTCACCTGAAGCCTGCGCTACGATTCTCTAGCTCGAAAATCAAGGCGTCACGAACCATCGTCGCCTAAAACAATTACCAAATAACGTCTTAGAATTTGTATCGATAGAACATGTAACTTACGTAAAACATATCCCCAAGGACGTTCTAGAATGATTTAAGACCCATTGATCAAAAGTCAACCGTCGGTCAAAGATTGACGATAGGGTCCACAACCCTACGTAACTCAATCCGAAATATTTGCATCTCGAATTTCCAATCCGTAGCTTCTAAAAAATCACATTGTGCTTCTAAAACATCATACTAAAGTTATA